GTGTGTGTGTGTGTGTGTCTGTGTGTCTGTGTGTGTGTGTCTGTGTGTGTGTGTGTGTGTGTGTGTGTGTGTGTGTGTGTGTGTGTGTGTGTGTGCAGGTGAAGATGAGCAAGCGGAGGTCAGCGGCTCTCACTGGAGCTCAGGGCGTCTCTCTGGTCTGTCGGATGTTTTGGGATCTCAGACTTTGCTCCTGAGTGTGTGTCTGTACAGGACAGGTGTAGATGTGTGTGTTGATGTTGTGTGATTGTGTGTTCAGGCTCAGAAGCTCCTGCGGGAGAGACTGTGTCATCAGAAGCTGCCGGATCAGCCTGTGGGTCTGGACTCCCAGTACAAGTGCGTCTCGTTTACTGTCTCTCTGTGTGTGTGTGTGTGTGTGTGTGTGTGTGTGTGTGGATTCTTACTCCGTGTGTGTGTGTGTGTGTGTGGATTCTTACTCCGTGTGTGTGTGTGTGTGTGTGGATTCTTACTCCGTGTGTGTGTGTGTGTGTGTGGATTCTTACTCCGTGTGTGTGTGTGTGTGTGTGGATTCTTACTCCGTGTGTGTGTGTGTGTGTGTGGATTCTTACTCCGTGTGTGTGTGTGTGTGTGTGGATTCTTACTCCGTGTGTGTGTGTGTGTGTGTGGATTCTTACTCCGTGTGTGTGTGTGTGTGTGTGGATTCTTACTCCGTGTGTGTGTGTGTGTGTGTGGATTCTTACTCCGTGTGTGTGTGTGTGTGTGTGGATTCTTACTCCGTGTGTGTGTGTGTGTGTGTGGATTCTTACTCCGTGTGTGTGTGTGTGTGTGTGGATTCTTACTCCGTGTGTGTGTGTGTGTGTGTGGATTCTTACTCCGTGTGTGTGTGTGTGTGTGTGGATTCTTACTCCGTGTGTGTGTGTGTGTGTGTGGATTCTTACTCCGTGTGTGTGTGTGTGTGTGTGGATTCTTACTCCGTGTGTGTGTGTGTGTGTGTGGATTCTTACTCCGTGTGTGTGTGTGTGTGTGTGGATTCTTACTCCGTGTGTGTGTGTGTGTGTGTGGATTCTTACTCCGTGTGTGTGTGTGTGTGTGTGTGTGTGTAGGCACTTGCTGGAGCTGCTGAGACGTACAGCTGTTCATGGAGAGAGTAACTCGGTCCTCATTGTTGGTCCACGAGGATCCGGTAAAACTATGGTACGAAGCATCAAGATTTACTCCCTCTCTGATGACTGACTCATCTTTTTACTCATTTTGATTAGATAAAAATTAAATAAAAAAAATATTTCTTTATTTTCTCACCCTCCTGTCCTTTCAAATATTTTTACATAAAACACAAAAGGAGATTGTTTTGAGAAACTTCTTGCTCTTTTCAAAGCTTCATAAGGGACAAAAAAGTACAACATTATAATGTTCTATATATATATATATGTATATATATTCATTCTTGTTCATTTTGTGAAAAATACCCATGTGCTGACTTTCCAGCACATGGGCATCATAGGTAAATGTATTTAAAAATGCTGAAAACAAAAAACGAGACAAAAATGGGGAAGAAAGTAGCTTTTGCAGTGTGCTAAATGAATAAAGCTAATATTTCTGAAACGATGGCATAATTATGTGAAGTGTTTTCGTGCGTCTCTGTCTGAAGCTGCTGGGTTGTGTCCTCCGAGAGCTCATGAGTCTGAGGGAAGCGCAGAAGAATGTTCTCCTGGTGGAGCTCAACGGTGAGTTCATGCACGGCTTTAACGCTGCTCCCGTATTAAATGATGAAATGAGAAGCTCCAGCTGTGTCACGTCTCCGCGATGTCTTCTGAGCGCAGGTCTTCTGCAGACAGACGACAAAATCGCTCTGAAAGAAATCACTCGCCAGCTGCACCTGGAGAACGTCGTAGGAGACAAAGTCTTTGTGAGTTTCTGACGTTATTAGAGGAATAATTGCTGTAGTTTTTAATGTTTTTGTGCTGAGAGGTTTTCTCGTGTTTTAGGGGAGCTTTGCAGAGAATCTGGCTTTTCTCTTAGAAGCTCTCAAGAAAGGTGAGGCTCCGTCAGTGCCATTTTAGTATACTATTATTATGTGACCCTGGACCACAAAACCAGTTTCTCCAAAAGCTTAAAAGTAGACACTTTACTTACATTTAATGTGCTTTCTATGGACGTAAAATCACTTTTGTAAATTTCTTTTGAAATCTCGATGTCTTTGACCCACACACAATCATGTTTTCTTACCTCTCGTTCTCTGTTCGTAGAAATTATGTGAAGATAAGACGGTTGAGGAGATTTTGAGGAGGAACTTTAATGGCAGTAAAGATTTCCGCTCTCTGCATTCGCTGCTGGTATTTACATCAGTTCATCTCGTAATCAGACCACTGTTGGAGATCTCTGTTCTTGTGTGTAAACCTGTGTGTGTGTGTGTGTGTGTGTGTGTGTGTGTGTGCGTGCGTGTTGTAGTTTCTGGCTGTCAGTCGAGTGTCGGTCTCTACTTCGACTCTTCGTGAGGCTGATCTTATCGAGGCCTGTCGCTTGATTTCTGCTGATTCCAAAGCAAACGTCCTTCACGGTGAGAAACTGAGATTTTTCCTGCAGTTTTGATGATTTGTATTCCTCGTCTCAAGCACACGCTCATCTCTGATGCCCTGGATTGCCTGTTTTCCAGGTCTGTCTATTCTAGAGCTGTGTTTGATTATTGCCATGAAGCATCTGAATGACACTTATGACGGAGAACCCTTCAATTTCCAGATGGTCCATAATGGTAAGTTATAACTGGTGTTTCACAAGCCTTGATGTGTGTACATGTTCGTCAGTGAAGGTCAATACGTGCATCAGCTCATATGAATGTAATTCTCTCTCTCAGAGTTTAAGAAGTTCATTCAGAGGAAGTCTCACTCCATCCATAAGTTTGAGAAGCCCGTGGTGATGAAGGTCAGTTGGAGCCGCTCTCTTTTTCATGCATGTACTTGTGCTTTAAACAGGGAACAGAATATGGAACAAACTGAGTCGATAAGTGGAAACCTAGCTCTCTTGGCATGTTCATGTCCAGTTTGTAAATTAATCATACTTTTGGATTGAATTATTTCGGTTGTGTGATCGACTGATTATTTGACAAAACTGATCTAAAATATGCATTCATAAATTAGACGGATCTGGCATCCTCTCATTTTATGTTCCATGAAAGAAGGTTGGGTTTGGATTCATGACTTGAGGGAGAGTAAATAATGACTTTAATTTGAGTTTAATTCAAATATATAGTTTTAATAAAATCTAAAGTTTTTCAATTGTGTTTATTGGTAAATGGCGTAAATATAAAATTAACACGTTAGTGTTATTTTAGTATTATTTATATAGTATTATAGTATGTAATATTTTTAATTAGCTTTATTTGTATTTTTTTTTTCATTTTAAAGTTTTAGTAATTTTGTTGTCAGTTAAATTTTTTGGGTATACAGTTTCTTAAAGGACAAATTTTGTCTCTTTCTTTTAATGGTTTTTATGGTGCTTACCTGTGTGTGTGTGTATAGAAAAGTGTATAACTATCTGTATATAAAAACAATAGAAGTATATGTAATGTCTCCATTTAGATAGCAAAGTAAACGCGTGTGTCTGTGTGCGCGTGTATCTGTGTGTGCGTGTGTGTGTGTGCTTGTGTGTCTGTGTGCGTGCGTGTGTGCATCTATATGTGTGTCCGTGCGTCTGTGTGTGTCTGTCTGTCTGTGTGTGTGTCTGTGTGCGTGCGTGTGTGCATCTATATTATACATATAATTTAATGACTTTGCATTTTTTGTTGAGTAATTTTTATGAGTAATCAATTTCATCCGGAGTCGTTTCTACCATTTGAGTCGTCATTTAGTCTGTATGACGACTTGGTTTTTATTCCAGTAAAAAATAATCGAAAGTAACATCCATTACCAAGCTTGCTTTTTTATAGTTTATGTGAATGCCTTTTGAATTAGTTGCATAAATGTATATATATATTTGTATATTTACATATTTAACTGAAAAGGCATTCAACTATATATATATATATATAAAAAAACTTTTTTTAATAAATCAGTGTTTTTATGAAATGGCATACCTTTTTGTGTGGAATAAACATTTATACAGAAAATGTCTTTATATTTATAGAAAGAGAATCACATGCATAATCAGTTAATTTGGGCCTGCAGACATTAAGACAATAAAAAAGTTGTATAAAATACCCAGCAGTACAATCTTCTGGCATAATTTCTTTATAAAGGACTGTTTTTGATTAGTGACACCAAAAAGAACAGAGCAACATCATGCTAGTCTAATAATTTAAAACCAACAATCATATTTACATTATTCATTTGCTGTACATGTGTGTGTTCGGGGGAATTACAGATCGATCTGAACTGTCTTTTACACACTTATTTCTCACCCAACACTTGGTTTGTCTGCGAACACATTCAGGGCAATAATAACCGGTGTTTGTTTTCACAGTACTGAGAGTTTGTCACATTATTAATGAAATAGAAGCGGTTTAGACTCTGTATGCTACAGTTGCAATCTCTGCTGCATGTTGGTTGCATAATTGCCGTATGAGCAGAAGCCTGCGTCCCTGAATACTGCTGTAGTGCTTCAGAAAGAGATGAAGGAGAATGTGGCGCTAGACAGATTTACAGCCCTGAAAGATACAGTTGTGTGCAAACACCGTCATTAAAGGGGCCTTAGCATTTATTTTCCTACAAGGTCAGCTTCTAATGTTATGCAAGTGGTTTTTGCTCCTGCGCCAATGTAAATGTCTTTTGATGCGAAATTAGTCACATGAGTTCAATTTAGTTTTTAACTGCTCCATCCTGCAACAACAGTCTCTCTGTAAAAATACATCACATTGAGACAGATGGATAATAATGTAATTTCTAACAGCACAAACTTTCACACTTTACTCTTCTTAATTCTGCTGGTGTGTTTGATTTGGAAGCTTATTTCAGCCACGGGATAAAAAAATAAAATAAAGATAATTGAAACTTTTTTCTCGCAATTTTGACAAGTCTAAAGAATCTTGCAATTCTTTGGAAAAAGTGAGAATTGTGAGATATATAATTCGGACTTTTTTTCTTGCTATTTACAGTGGGCGAGTTTACTTGTAATTCCGAGTTTGTCTCTAATAATATCAGACTTTTTTTCTCAGAATTGTGATATAAAGTTACAACTGCAAGAAGAGAAGTTGCGATTACTATTTTTATTTTTCATTGTGGAATTTATGGTGGAAACAAAAAAACAACTGCGAGATGTAAACTCCAAAATCTGAAGAAGAAAAAAATGCAAAAATTGCGAGATATATTGCTAGATTTGACTCTGAACTGCAAGAAAAAGTCAGAATTTTCTTTTTCTTGAGTTTTTCCTCAGAGTTGCAAAATAAACAGCCTGAATTGCAAGACATAAACTCAGAATTGTGAAAAAATAAATCCGTATTGTGAGCTAAAAAGTTGCAATTGCCTTTTACATTTTTTTTAAGCTTCCATAGTTTGACATCACGACTCGGTGGCCCGAGTTTCTCAACACTAAACATGTTAACACGCTGATGTTAATCTAGTTCACATCAGAAAGCTGAAGTGCAGAACGATTCGTTTTTGCAGTGTAGGGTCAAAATGAACCCTCCAGCACTCGATCTGCTGGATTATTTCTCATATAAAGCCACTAAAAGACACATATGAACAAACATGTATCAGGTGTAGTCTGATGAATATGGAGGTGAGTGGTAAACTGTCCGAATTCATCCACCATTGGCAGAAGTTAATATTGGACCCTTTGCGATTCAGTGAAGCGAGCGTTGATTCCTCATGATACGACCCCTTTAGAAAGAGCAGTGAAGGCTGTGATGAAATGAAGCAGAAATGTGAAAGGCAGAAACGCTAGCGTGTGTTACAGCTACTCGTCTCGCCTCCGTAGCAGCTGTTCAGAAAAAAGCACGAGAAATCAAAATGAGGTATACCTGTTTAGGGAGGTTCATGGTTATTTCAGCATACATCCATGTCTCATATTGGCATGACTGTAATGATTCGCAGAAAAGAAACAGCAAACGCAGTCCAGAGTTTCGCCCTTTTTATACTAAAATCATATGAGCTGCTGTTCATATAAAACACAAAAGTCTTTCCTTTATGCATAAAAGAGGTTTTGGTGCAAACAGAGACATCCGTGTGTGTTTGATCTCTCGAGTTTCTCCGTGTGTAAGTGCGAGTCGTTGAATTATTCCCCCGCTCGTTTTGTTCGAGTCATTGTAGTCTGGTGTTCTCTCGCACACGCTGCGTTCTGATTGGCTGAGAGAACAGCATCATAGGCCGGATTCTTTAGGGGGGAAGTCCAGGTTGGTAACCATGGTGACGACGGAGAGGAAGTCGTCGGGGGCGATGAGGTTGGTGTTGCGCTGCATTGAGATGATGCGCTCCTCCACGCATCCCGCAGACAGACGCGCCTCGGCCTCGTGGTCCCAGCACTCCTCTATGGTCTCACAAAGCATCGCCAGACCCTAGATACACAGATTAAATGATTTGGTGTGAGAAAGTCTGGAGCTACACGAACAAAGCCTGAGCATCGTGCATCTTTAAACATCTTGAGCTTCAACAAGAGTGTGTTCGTGTAGCAGTACCGTATGTTTTAGCCAGTGCTCTCTGAATATCGGCCGTAGTTTCTTATGCACAACGACATCCTGCATGTCCTCCAGAGACAGATGAAGACCTGCCTCCTCCTCAAACGGCAGACAGAACTCATCCACGGGACCTGAGACACACACACACACACACACACACACAGACACACAGGCAGACAGACAGACACACACGCACACACAAAGACACAGACAGACACACACACACACACAGAGACAGACAGACAAGACACACACACACACACAGAGACAGACAGACACACACACACACACACACACACACAGAGACAGACAGACAGACAGACAGACAGACAGACAGACAGACAGACAGACAGACAGACAGACAGACAGACAGACAGACAGACAGACAGACAGACAGACAGACAGACAGACACACACACACACACACAGACAGAGACACAGACACAGACACAGACACACACACAGACACACGCGGATCAGCACCGGTTTATCCCATGACTTCACCCGAGTATGAGTGAATGGGTGTTTGTTACCGTCGGCTGCTGTGCAGCGAGAGGCCAGTTCCCACAGCACCAGACCCGCGGCGTACATGTCGATCCTCAGAAACGCGTCGCGCTGGAAACTGATCGCTCCCTCCAGCACCTCCGGAGCCATGTAGCGCCGCGTTCCCACCTTCACACAACACAACCAATACAACATTAAAATATTTGTTGTTGTTGTTTGTTTTTGAGCACAAGCACAAATCATATTCACCTGTCCGTGTGTGTCGCCTGTAGATTTCCCTGCTTCAAACTTCAGTGACAGGCCAAAGTCAGCAATACATGCAGTTAAATCACTCTTCAGTAACACATTCTTACTCTTGATATCTCTGAGAGAGAGAGAGAGAGAGAGAGAGAGAGAGAGAGAGAGAGAGAGAGAGAGAGAGCGAGAGAGAGCGAGAGAGAGCGAGAGAGAGAGATACAGAGGTTAAATTACATCTGATTTAGGGGGTTTCAAACTGGGGGCGTGGGTGGAAAAGTTTAGAGAAAAAGTGTGAAAAATTTACAAATAAATAAATATATACATTTTACATAAAAAATAAGAAGCACATAAATACGTATATAAATAACTATTTTACAAAAATAATTTTTCACACATATTTATATCCCTTTTTTTATAGTATAAACTGGGTCTTTATACAATAAACTAAATACATGCTTGCTACATTTTTGGATGGGGTCCATCGCTAAAATTTTCAAAAAAATGGATAAATAAATAATAAAAAAGATTAAAATACATATATAAATGTATACATTTTAGATTAAAATAAATAAGTCAACAAATAAGTATATAAGGTGACATTACATCTATAATACATTACTATAATGAGTTTGAATTTTTTTTTATAGAAACAAAATATTTATCAAATAATATTTTACAAATATTTATATGATACATTTTTACAGAATAAATTGGGTCTTTATACAAAAAAACTATATAGATGTCCTGTAAGATTTTAGCCTTTGGGTCCCTTGCTAAAAAAAAAATAATAATATATATATATACACATGTATATATATTGATGAATGAAAAAATATATTTAAATAAATTAAATAAAAATTTTTTACAGAATGTATAAGCAAATACATACAGTATGTATAAAAACATCTAACTGTATTATAATGAGTAGAAAAACAACATAATAATGTAACTTAATAGAAACAAAATAGTTTCCAAATAATATTTTACACATTTATATTAGACTATAAATTGGGTCTTTATACAAGAAACTAAATAGATGTTGGTTAAATGTTAGGATGGCGTTCCCTTGTACGAGCATTGAAAGTGTTTAGTACCGGTGTGCAACG